CTCAGGCTGGTCTCGAACTCCTGACCTTGAGCGATTCACCCGCCTCGGCCTCCCAGAGTGCTAGGATTACAGGCGTGAGCCACTGCGCCTGGCCTAATCAGACGTTATTTTAACAGACGCGATTTAATGAAAAGGACAGGTTAAACAAATACTGGAGAACGGAAAAGACAAAAAGGAAATGCTGAGGTTCCACGCAGACAGAACTGCAGGCATTAGCTACCACAGCTTTAGGGAAGCTACGAGCTCAGAGGGAAGGCCTCTAGCCCCACAGGGGACCCAGACTTCTGGAGAATAGAGTACACGACGTCACAGCCGATTCTGACCTGTCTGATGAAGTGTGATCGTCTGGGTGTGTGCACAAAAGCTGGACCCTGGAGTCAACTGCTACTGTCAGGGTGAAGAGTTAGGTGATCCCGACAGCAGGAACAGCAAGCAAAACAGAAAGGCGTGCGTCTCTTCTCCCTGGGTTTCCCATTGGCAGCATTCAACAGGGAGCCAGGTGTCCAAGGTTGTATGGTTGTAGAGTCCTAACCTCCTACACCCACAAAGTAGAGTGCAGAAAGCTGGGTTTGCATCCAAGAGACAACAGCTTAGAAACTGGCAGTTTCTCTGCTGGCTACTCTGCATCCATATAACCCCTTCCACACATCCTTAGACATCCATATGAGAACTGTAACAACTTTGTGCTTTCACCTCCCAAGATACAACTATCCTTCATCACAAACGAGGACTTCCTCACCTGTTCCTCACAAGGGGAGACACAGAGTCCCAGTGGTCCTTGTCCATCCCTGGGAGATGATCAAAGTATCCATTTCTAGGCAGTGTGTATTACTTGCAGATTCCTTTCCAGTACCACCTAAACGTTCTCCACTACCCAAGAGAATTGAAACCATATGGTTGTACAAAAACTTGCGCAGCAATGTTCAGAGCAGCATTATTTGTAATAGTCAAAAGGTGTAAAAAATCCAAATGTCTACGAACAGCTAAATGAATAAACAAAATGTGGTCTATCTATATGCTGGAATATTATTCAGCCATAAAAGGAAGGAAATTCTAACACATGCTACCACATGGATGGCCTTTGAAGACGTTGTGCCAAGTGAAATAAGCCAGACACAAAGGACCAATATTGTATGATTCTACTTCTACGAGGTACCAAGAATAGGCAAATCCATAGAACAGAGCAGAAAAGCAACTACTAGGGCATGGGGAGTTATTGTCTAATGTACAGAGTTTCCTTCTGAAATGATGAAAAAGTTCTGGAGATGGATAGTGGTGATGGTTGGACAATTACGTGAATATACTTAACGCTAATGAACTGTACGCTTAAAAAAATGGTTAAAATGGGCTGGGTGAGGTGGCCCATGCCTGCAATCCTAGGGCACTTTGGGAGGCTGAGGCAGGAGGATTACTTGAGCACAGGAGTCTGAGATCAGCCTGGGCAACATTGCAAGACCCTGTCTCTAAAAATAGAAATAAAAAAAGAAATGCATGAACACCAAACTTTTGTATGCTGGTTTTCTCTGGGGAATGGAGAGAAATTTGATGGGGAGTAGTGATCGAAGAGGATTTTCATGTTTAAATCTATACATACCTGTGTGAAACTTTTAAAACAAGAATATATTCATACTTTAATTATGAAATTAAATTTTTGATAATAGGACTCAGAAACTCAACTAGATTAAGATAATATAACTTATAAACAAACAAACAAAAACAAGGTTCCCTCTTCATCCTGCTCCTCCCCACTCCCCTGGGACCCTCTTCTTGCCATTCAGTGTGAGATGGGTGGCATTTTATTTTATAGATCAATTCAGGCTGGCAGCTCTGGTAACCTCTTCACTTCCTGAAACTGTAGCAAGAATCCTCGTAACAACTACTCTAAAAATAGGGTTAATGTGAGTCAAAGAAGCCCTATAAAAAGGCATCCTTCAAGAAGGAACTGTGAAGTCACGAACCATATGCGATACTGGAACAGGAGCATAATGGTCCTGACTGGTCCCCAATGTCACACTGGATCTCTGGCTACTACCTCATGAGTATTTCTACTCCAGAGATGCTACAAGAGATGTGGGAGATAATCAGATTCCTGTGCAGTGATCTCTTCCATAGATTATCTACTTTTCGGATTATTCCTAGCGCCTCCTAAATTCCGAAGGGATTTTCCCCTGCTGTTATGCATTCTTCTGAGTAATCGTCCCACCTTCTTCAATTGTTGGGAGTTCAGAGAATGTAAATTAGTTTTCTATTAGCCTAAACAAACACAATTAGAAAGGAAAAATCCCTCGAGGCAAAGAACACCTATCAAAGCCAAATATAAATTATCTTTGACCAGCGTACTCCCGGAAATAAATGAGAAACCAATGTAATTATCTTTTTAATCTCTAGAGAAAGTGTTTTAATGCTTTCTTTTATAGATTTCTTCGGTATTTTATAATCCTAATGTTCTTTTATATTCATTAAATCACTCATTCTGTAAGCTGAGCCCGTTCCCTTTTGTGGGCATCAGGAAAGTAGATGAGCTGACCTTGGTTATTCTAAATGAACTTCCCATCCTTGAAAATGTACAAACACGGTAATTTTATGCGCATATCTTTTTTATATTGGTTTAACCCACATACATGTTATTTTTAACATCGCTATGGCATTTTATAATAATAGCTGCCAGGTCTACAATGAGTCATGCACTCTATTAGGAATTTTAGACATATATTTTGTATTCAATCCTTGCAACCACTCTACCGTGTAGAAATAATGATACTCTTAATGTAGAAATGAAAAAAATTGAGGCTGAAATATTTCTAATGGGTAAAGAAAAAATGGAATATTGGGAGTGAGACAACAAATTGTCTGATTCCCAAGCCCAGCATCAAGCCATGATGTTACGCTTTCTGCCATCATGTTGCTACATTATAGGCTGCGTAGCTGATCTACTGCTCTTGGGCATTCTGCATTATCTCTGATTTGTGGCGGTGATAATATCTCATGAAAACATTTTGTAACCATCATCATCCTGGGTCCCCACGTACGTAGCTCTGTCTCTACAGACTCACACAGTAAGTGAAAGTAATTTAAAAATGAATTCCAATCTCCATTTTGTCTCTCAAAGAAAAATCACAGGAGATCCAGTTTAAAACTCACAGCAATACTCCTCAAATTTCCTCCCTTCCTTCCCCCACACTAACTGCCGGGGAGGCATCACCGCCTCTGTGAACCTGGCCGCTCCCAGCAAGTCAAAGCCTGCACCTCCCTGTGGCTCTTTATTTTATAGACCAATTCGGCTTCCAGGCCCCGTTCCCCTGGCCCTAGCTAGGTCTGGTTTCTCTCCACTCATTCTCCTAACAGCCCATCCCAAAAGGGCGCGGAAAGAAGTCTCCTTTTGTGGGAGCTGGAGATGGGGGCTGTGGAGAAACGGAGATAGGAGAGGTCAGGGAACACTCACACGTGAATCAATTTCATTCCTGTGGTGTTTGTAGTTAAGGTTTTTGGTTTTTCATTTTTGGGTCCCCTCCCCCCATGAGTGAGATTTGTGGGTCACTGAATAAATCTATAACAGTGAATAGTTTTAATCGGGAGGTGGTCTTACTCTTAAACAAAATTTATGGGAATCCGTTGTCTTGGGTTGAGCTTCTGCACTGGGCGCCAGCAGACGACACCGAACCAGACCGGAGGGACTCCCGCGTGATCAAACTGGCCAGTTTGACGTTCAATACAGTTTTTTCAACAAACAAACAAACAAACAAAACCCAGGAGATTCACAGCAACAATCAGAAGGGCCCCAGTTTACCTGAGCTATTCATAGCGTGGTAAGAAAGTCCCCTCTGTTTTAACCTTATAAGGAAAGGAACTTTGAAACAACCGATCCCCTTTTTTCCTTATTTCTGCTTTCTTCAGCCATTTTCTGCCAACAAAGCCAAGCTCCTCTCAGCTCCACAGAGCGCTCATCTGTTCTCTAGCTGGAATGCTGCCGAGTCGTGAATCGCTAAGAAAAGCCAATTAGATCTTTAAACTGTTTGTTGAAATTTTGTTTTTCAATATTACTAATTAAAAAAATACACTGTATGACTATAATGAAGTTAACTTGTCATAAGGCTTGAAAGAGTTAAATTTTTGCTTGATATGCCTTTATAGCTAGTCAGTATATTTTATGATCACAACTAAGTCATAAAATTCTGATTACTTCATAATAACGGTACTACCTACCTATATGTGAAATGCAATCATATACAAAAATACAGTTAGCCCAAGCCTCCCTATTTTCTCTTCCCTAATGGGCTAGGGAAGAAAAGAGAGATTTAGACTTCTGGTGAAGTGGCTCACTCAGCTATTAAATATTTAATAATTGGTATTCTTCCCTTAAGAGCCTTTTTTGGGTTTTGGCCAATCCCAAGGTTCTCATCTTTGGTCAATCCCTGATCTTGGGACTGCCCCAGCTTTCTTTGACATACTTCCTCTCTCCAGGTCCTCCCTTATCAACACTTCCTCTCCAATTGTATCAGTCATTTACATACTAGTAAGAATTTAACCCAATATACTTTCCTTCTCAGGGATATTTGCATATTCTATTTTATCTCCAATTGTGAATGCAAGGATTTGTTTATGGTCCTGGAGTTTTAAGCACTGATGAGGTAATGTAGAAACTATGTACTTGAGGGGAAAGAAGTTGCCCAGGTGTCTTCCCTTGAAATTGTATTTTATAAGTAGGCATTTTCTCAGTTTATGAATATGATCAGCTCCCAACTTACCACTCTTATGTAACTGCAAGTTTCGAGGTCAAATGCACTTCTGTGTGCACACTCAGGTCGTGCACACACACATAAATGTAGAGAGGACAGGTAGGTGGCAAAACATGGAATTTACTGATTAAGGAAAGCAATACATGATTTGCATTAGAAATAAATTTCTAAACTCACTTTCTATGTCATTCTCATCTCTTACTCATAATGAATCTCTGCTATCAGACTAGACCTGTAGCTTTTTGTGTTTTGCTATTTTTCCAGTTTGACAAATGGACAGACTCTCAAAGGAGAAGAATCCTCACGGGCCTGTTGGAGCGCTGCTCCCTGTCACAGCAGAAGTTCTGCTGTCGAAAGCTTCAGGAAAAAATTCCAGCAGAAGCCCTGGATTTTACTACCAAGCTTCCGAGGGTGTTATCTTTATACATCTTTTCTTTCTTGGATCCCCGAAGCCTTTGTCGTTGTGCACAGGTAAAGGCAAAGAAGTGGCACGTGGTGTTTTGTAAGGGCTGCCTTAGAGAACTCTGGAACTTGAATAATTTAGGGAAACACACACGCCCACACGCAACCGAGAAACAGATGAGATGGTCCGTATGTTCAGTCTGGATAGTTCGAATGAACCCCACCTCCTTTGTGCTTAAGTCTGTATTTAGTGCTCAAAAGCGGGAAAAAGTATGAGACACATCAGTGTCTATAAAAATGTATTAGCCAGTTGGAGAGATACACTGGTAAGAAATGGCCATCAGCAGGGCGGTCTCTTGCTGCGCAGCGTACAACTACAACAGAAGCCTAAAGTGCGCAGTGCAAGTCTTCCTCTAGAATGGAAAAGCTCCCGGTAAGCTGCTAACGGGAAATGTACGAAAGAGCATGAGACTAAAAGAGACCCAGGTAGGCAGGGATGCTCGCAGAGGCCTTGGAAAAGGAGCTGTTATTTTCTTACAAGTAATTTCGTGGTGTTATTAAAGTGAAGTTAAAATATTTAAGATATTAAACTGGTAGTCATTTTGTTGAGTCTTTTCCTAGAGTCCAGCAAGACCGGAAATTATTGGCTACAACGCATTCACATACGTGTAACATGTTAACTTTAATTTTTAAAATTGAGAACATGAATGCAGCAAGAAAGATGAATTGTTCAATAATGGTGTTGGGACAATTGGGCAGCTATCTGGGGGAAAAAAATCCCAGTAGAATAAATAGATTTATATGAAACCAAAGAAAACCATTGAAGTACTCAAAGAAAACATAGGAAAGGAGGACTTCGTGAGTATTCTATAATACCCAGAAGCCTGTTGCAAACGAAGGGCTAATTTCTTTATTTTTTTAAAAAGCTCCTATAAGCCCAGGTACAATGGCTCATGCCTCTAATCCTACCACTTTAGGAGGCCAGAAGGGAGGATTGCTTGAGGCCAGGAGTTTGAGACCAGCCTGAGCAAGAGCAAGACCCCATCTCTACAAAAAATAGAAAAATTAGCTGGATGTAATCGTATGTGCCTGTGGTCCCAGCTACTTGGGAGGCTGAGGCAGGAGGATCATTTGAGCCCAGGATTTGAGGTTGCAGTGAGCTACAATCATGCTACCGCACTCCAGCCTAGGTGACAGAGTGAGACCCTGTCTCAGAAAAAAAAAAAAAAGAAACAAAAACACAAAAACAAAACAAAAATATCTTATCTGCCTTGGGGAAAAACCAGCTTGAGTACCTAGGTCAAAATAAAAATCTAAGGAAGAGGAGGAAAGGAGTGAGAAGGAAGAGACTTTTCTCCCCATTTCCTCCCTGAAAAACTCCATCTCTCCTTAAATTCTGAGTTAATTTACCGTATGGAGATTAAGATGGCTGTTGTTTCATTTCTGGGCTGAACAAACTAGATGTGATTTCTGTTCCTGCCTGCAGGGCTCTATCATCAGATCCTCTAACTTTGTTCCTCCTTCCAGCTCCTGATTCTTTCATTTCTTCTAATTGTGCCCCATTCTCTCCTTAAGGTCTTCCCTTCAGCACAGGAAACATACTAACAGTAGGAACTCAGTAGCTGGTGGATGGGAGAAGGGAGGAAGAGAGGGGTAGAAAAATGGGTGTGTGGATAGCAAGGGCCATTACAGGTGGTCTTCTTTTGGGGGAGGGGCAACTCAAAAATTATTAGTTATGTAATTGATGTTGAAAAAGAGGCCAGTTTTCCAAGGATGAAATTTGGGCTTGAAGGTTATATGTCATCTTTACAACTCTTACAACTAAGACACAGAATCTCTAGTCTCAACTTTATATATGAACTTGATCCTAGTTTCCAGCAAGACTTATTCGAAACCTTGGGTAAATTATTACAACTATTGCTACACAGCGTAGGGTCACCTCCACCATTGGCTGGATGTGTGGGATTGGCCATAATGCTGTGGATATGGAATGTATGGAACAAATACTTTACGCTTTTTGAAATCCTAAAGGCTCTATAGGACATACCATATAGTATCAGTAACTGTGTTCCATTTATAAAATTTATATTTAGTGAAATTGTAAGAATGGAGGAAAAAGGAAGCACATCATGAAAAGAAGAAACAATGTACAGACCTGGGTTTATATAACCTTCATATAACTTTCATATGACCTTCAGGAACCTTTACGAAGTTTCAAGGTCTGAGTCTCAGTTTCCTCACTTGCATATGAGAGTAATAACTATACTGACCTCCCTAGGTTGCTATGAGGATAGTTAATAGGTGCTCAATAAATATCAGTTGACTGATTCTAAGACTGAATTAGCATTTAAAGTAAATCCTTCTGCTTGGATGGATAGGGAGCACTTCAGGTGAGGAGGTAACTATTTAAGCTGTGATTTGGAGGAAAAGGACAAAAAACTTATCTCAGGTCCAGGCTGACAGCTCAAAACCTACAGAAAGTGGGCATGTAAACTTAGTAGGTTGTTTTGTTTCGTTTAATTGTCACTGTTGTTCCAGGTGTGCTGGCACTGGAAGAACTTAGCTGAGCTGGACCAGCTGTGGATGCTCAAGTGCTTACGGTTTAACTGGTACATCAATTTCTCTCCAACGCCTTTTGAGCAGGGGGTCTGGAAGAAGCACTATATTCAAATGGTGAAAGAACTTCGTGTTACCAAGCCTAAGGTAAATTTCAGACAAAAAGCAGCAAGCTTACAAACATAAGCTCCTTACAAATTCTGGAACTAAGACTATATCAAACTGGAAGTTGGGGAAGGGAGGTGGTTCAAAAGAAATATAACGTGATTTCAAAATTCTCCTTTTCTGAGACTTGATAGCCATTTTCGGGATATCCATGTTAGTCGAGACCCTCCTCTGACACTCCCAGGCCACAGCTGCACCCAGGAGATGAGGCCTAGGAAGTTTCTTCCTCTGTGCAGGTCTCCGTGTCTCTGACTCAGACACCAGACAGTTCTGACATGCGGACTCTGGGCAATATGCAGTGTTTGTTATTTCTGGGTCTTCAAATTGTGCTTTACTATTTCAAATTTTCTATGACTCTATCAGGTGAGCTGAAGTTTATTTTTGTGTCATTTATAAGGAAAAGTTTTCCAATAAACAAGTCCTTAGAGAAGGGCTGAATGGGCATATTAAACTTCTTAGTTTTTGCTAGAAACTAAGCAATGTAGAGCATTTACATATAATCATAAAAAGCAAATAATGCAAGGATAATTTTTTCTAGTGGCTTTCTATGCATGGTAACCAATGTTTATATTCATTCTTATAGTCATAGCTAATTAGATAATTTATGAGCAATTTTTATGAGCCCTTTGTTTTTGGCATTATCCATACACATGCGGAGTTGTGCATCATTTCTTAAAATAGATGAGTTCCTGAAAAATTATGTGTAAATTAGAATTTTTAAATGATTTTTTTTTTTTTTTTTTTT